TGACTCTGGATAGACAACAAAGTATAGGAGTCATCACAGTTTCAGACTTTGAAAATCTTGTTCTATAGGAATGCACACAAATAACCTTTCATTGCAGTTGGCTTTCCGGCTCAGATTTCAGGCTGTAATTAAAAACTGCTGTGACGAATTCTCAAAACAGCCCAGAGTGTCCCACCGTTTCATCACGTTTGAACGCTGTACACTTTGAAGACCACCTGGTTTTGATATGGCTGAAATCTTTCTCTTATCCACCTGCCTGCTGTGTATGGGTGATTGAACCAGTCAAAGTGAGAGTTGGCTGAATAGAGTCAGTGCCTGCAGCAATCTGAAACCAATCTCCAGACTGCTGCAGCACAGAAATTAGCCTGTCCTCCTTTCCACCTGCCTGGGCCACTGTTGTTTAATTGACACAGCACTCAGGAGCCCAGAGTGATCACCCTCCTGATATAAAACGATGCCTGTCAGTTAGCAGCAAACGTTCATTCCCTGACTGCAATCATCCCTGGACTGTGGGAACATCCCTATGAGACTTCTGCAACAAAAGTGCCTTCACTTCCTCCAAGTGCACCCACTTTTATTCCAACCACCACCTGCCATAGCAAAACAACAACACAATCCTTCAAACTTTCAGACAATGCCCCTTTTCATTTTTCACAGGATTAAAAGGTGTCAGGAGTTTACAGCAGATCTGCTCTGTGCCGCCAAAGGGTTGATTCTAAATACAGGTTTGCTGCCTACACCTTTGCAGGAGCATAATCACCAGAAGCCAGCAGGTCTCTACTGCTATCACACAGCTTTTTGCATACCAAAATTCACAGAGGCAGATGAGTCATGAGCTCAAATCTCAGTTTAATTACGATTTGGACTTAGGCTCATTTAGCTGCTGGCAAATGTACCAAAAGATCTTGTCATTAGTTCCTGACGTGATAACACCCATTTTTGTTTGTTTTAGTTAAACTAAATGCCGATCCCTCACATTTCTTGTTTACCAGTGTAAAATTAGCCATTTATCAGACTGTTCCACGCTTCAATAAAACGACTTTATTCAGTAGCCTTATTACCTTTATATAAATTTAGTCACCTGTTAAGTAACATTACAGTTATGGTCATAGATCTGTGTTGTGCTACCCACTGTATTTAGAGAAATTTCCTGTTATTACCATTACCATGTCACCCATTCTGAAACTTCAACATTACTTTTTTGGGCAACGCCATATTGGGGGTTTTTTGGACCCAGATGTTACCTCAAGCATGAGGGGGTTGAGTTTTAAGTTATCAGCTCATACGGGGAAACATGGTTAGCAAGCAGGATACCAATTTAGTTCACTGGGTTGAGAAGGGGACCCATTCACTGTAAGGCTATTGCAGAGCGTTTTAATTCATCCTGGATAATTTACTGCATGTGTGAGGCCCATGATGTCCATTGGTTTGTTGTTGATCAGTACTGAGCCTAAAATATACACAGTGGGGAATATCAAGTGGTTGCATTGTTATTTATTCCTTCTATAGTCATACTATGAACTACATATAAAATTCATCTGGTTCTGCTTTGTAGTCATTGGGTCCATAAGGCACAAAAACAACCCACAACAGTGCTCCACAACAACAACAAAAAGAGTCAGAGTGAAAAGAAAGTAATATGGATGGTAGATTTCAGGTTAGATAGGGGCTACCACACACCATTTATCACCAGACAGTCTATGAAGGTTAAGAAAGTGCTTTTCTGGATGCTTGTACTGCCAAATTTTAAAATAGAAAGGACTATATCTCCACTTTAATATGAAAAAGACAGACTAAGTAGACAGACAGGTGGTTTGAAGAAAAGAAAAGAACAGATTTGATTAATCTTAACTGAGGAATGATGAAAGGATTCGACAAGGATCCGACAATACTTTGAAATTAAATTCTGTGCATCAGTTTCTATGGTAATAAAATAATTAGTGTCAATATAAAGCATGTGCAAAGCACTACAACTGCATGAGTGGATTTTTCTTTTCAAATATTTTCATGTTTGCTTTTGCTGTAAATACATTTTTCCCCCAAGGCCATCATGGTGTTTTGCAGAAATACAGTAAACAATGTACCATTTAGTAAGTGGTACTGAGGGAAAGACCATTTTAATCAACATTATTAACATTAATGGTCTATTCTATTACTGAAACACCATTCATTTCATTACAGGCACACACACACACCCTGGTGCTGGGTAACATCGGATGACATGACACTCATGAGCTGCTGCCTTGTTCTCTGAGTCATTGCATTCACAGCTGCTAGCCAAGGGCTCTTGGACCATGAAAATGCACACAAATCAGATGCAGTTGTCTCTCCTGTAAAGATGGCTACCATCTTTGAAACCAAAAATGCAACCAAAAAAAAGCAGGAGATAAAAGTGGGTATTTCAAAGGTTAGGGTGACACTGGCTAGAAACACAAAGCTGGAAATTAAATGGTCTTCTAGGCTTTTCTAGAAACAGAAGAGACTAAATGAACGCAAGTGAGAGAGAGCGAAAAGAAAAGTTGGCTCTACCAGATTTTCCTGCATAAGATGGAACAATTTAATAGCAAAAGAAAGAAAGAAGAATTGTCAATTGAAGCAAAAGAGTGAATCAAGTAAAGGCCATTGATTTTAACTGGAATCCTTTCAGAGAGCCCAATTGCTGCTCTCTTGTATTGACAGGCGAAGTTCACACAATGCCTTTTACAATTAACCAGCAGCTGCCTTTTACAATTAACCAGCAGCTGTCAGAGCTAAAGCTAACATGTCGAGCACTAGTGGTGTTGCCTTGACAGCTAGTTAATTGGGTAACAGTGAGACAAGCCAGTAAGGCAGGGACAGCTACACACAAAATGCTTAGCATGTCAAGGTAAGGTTGGAAGAGCACCAGTGACATCTAGAACACCAGCTAGCTGCTATAGAAAGAACGGGACTGGTGCTTTCTTTCTTTCTTGCTGAACTCACATTTCTCCTTAATGAGAAGAAAGTTGTTGTTTTTTTGGGGGGGGGTTCAGCACAAAGCTAAAGAAAAACAGTGCTGCTAAGTAAGCTCATTGGAATGAGCTATATGATTCATAAGGCAGACCTCCTTGATCAGCACATTGGACAAGGGAAGCCCAAATGAATTCATTTAGCTTCTTAAAGAACTAAATGCTTACAGATTGTTTACATTTCTAGTGTGTGGCTGTTGGCTTCTATTCCTATTATCAATGAAAAATTGTCAAAAACTTAGACAGCATTAGCATGGTTTTAGTTGTTATAAAAAACAACCAGAAAAAGCTCAACACATCAGATAGCTTAGATGGAAAGCTTCAGTTGGGGGGGGCTTTTGAAGCAGTTGGGCGAGCTACATATATTAAGCATGTCTGTAAACAGCAGTATGACGTTTTTGATATAGAAACAGTTGCTTCTTTTTTTTTTTCATAGTTTATTTGATCTTTATTAGTTATTTTTATTCTAAGTTATTGTAATCAGGCCAGACTGGACTCGGGGACGGGAAAGAAAAACAAGAAGAAAAGTTCAGAGTTTCTCTTTTTCTTTTCCTGGATCACCTGTTGAGAAAGAAAAAAGAAAACAAGCAGAAGAAGACTAGAGCAATAGAATAAACAACATCATGATGATCTATGGGAATATAACAGTAAATACTAAATGTTAAACATTATTGTGCAGCACGTAACACCGAGCCAAAAAGGGTGTAGTTTGCGTGTGTGAGCACCCGTGTGTACACCTGTGAGCATGAACGCGCTTGTTTTTAAAAGGTTCCTACATGTAATGATCTGTTAGAGGGTGTGGGGAGCCAAAGCCCCGTCCACCAGGGCATGAAGCAGGTATGGAGGAGATCAAAACTCCAGACATCCGGAGGCCCTCAGAACACAAGAGACCAAGGAAGACCAACAGAGGGGCAGCCGCGCCACTATCCCAGAAAGAGCTAAGGAGAGTCCCAGATGAAGGGTCAGTCAGCAGCCGCGGAACATAAGCCAGGGGGTTGCAGTGACGTGCCCGGGAGCTCCGCCGGCAGCCTTGGAGGGCCTGAGATGTCCCCAGAGAGGTGGTGTCTGATACCCAACCTGACATATGGACACAGACATACAGGCACACAAAGATACAAGCATCCATTCCCACCCTCATGCTCTCATATGCAATTACTCAACACTCACCCAACGTGGAGACAGACATAAAGAGACACTGTACACACAATCACACTCCCCAAGTGTACTCTAAGCCCCGGGTCTAGGTACCCCCTGGAGGGGGAAACTGCACCTAGACCCAGGTGGTGTTACCCTTTTCCCTGCGGTGGGGAGATGCAGACCGCCCCAACTCCGCAGCAGCAGGGAGGCCCCACATTCCAGACCCCAGTCGGACGGCCAACTCCTCCTCCTGGCCCCACGCTCCAGCAGGCCGCAGAGAAACGGGGTGTGAGAAGACTCCAAACCTCCCCCCGCCCGCTCATATGTAGTGTTGATGCATGTGTGTTCTAAGGTGCATTTAAAACCCAGGAGGACATGGAGCTACCTGCCAGAGAGCAGCAGGTAAGCGCATAGCCCCTCCCGATAGCCCTCAATGTCTACGTGTATTTAGAATTGAGAGGTGGGCAACGACGCCAGGGGTGAGGTGTACACCCTGATGGTAATTTGGAGTCCGTGTAGCGTGCCCATCCCCAAGATCCTATATGTATGTGTTATGAGAGTGTGAGTAATGTGAATGTGTAAGTTGTGAGATAAAATTGAGGCAAGGCCAGCTCCCCCGCTGACCCCAGTAGGCACCCCCATACTCCGCAACCCGCCAGGGAAAGGGGGCCCAGGCCCATCTGGACCCGGCCGGCCGCCCCCCTGAACTTTGTGTGAACTGTTTTTCCTGGCCGCCTGTGTGTGTGTGTGTGTGTGTGTGTGTGTTCTTTTTTCTTTTCTTTTCTTTTTTTGTTTTGTTTGTTTTTTGCTCCTTGTGTTTGGTTTGTTTCTGGTTTAATTTAGTTAGATCTGCAAGCTGGGGAGAAACATTAATACCTAAATATTTAGATTGCGGGCAGCACGGTTGCAAGGTGGTTAGCACTGTTGCCGCACAGCAAGAAGGTCCTGAGTTCAATTCCACCATCAGGCCGGGGTCTTTCTGTGTAGAGTTTGCATGTTCTCCCCGTGTTTGCGTGGGTTCTCTCCGGGTACTCCGGCTTCCTCCCGCTGTCCAAAGACATGCAGCTTGTGGGGATAGGTTAATTGGATAATCCAAATTGCCACTAGGTGTGAATGTGCAAGTGAATGTGAGTGCGAATGGTTGTCTGTCTCTGTGTGTTAGCCCTGCGACAGACTGGCGACCTGTCCAGGGTGTACCCCGCCTCTCGCCCCATGACAGCTGGGATAGGCTCCAGTGCCCCCCGCGACCCTGAAAAGGATAAGCGGAAGCGAATGGATGGATTTAGATTGTGTACTGTAGATTTTGACCAGTTAATTGAGTAGTCTGATCTTCTTGCAAAAGAGTTTATCAATTCAATCACCCCAGAGAGTTTTGGAGAAAACGTATCACATCATCTGCATAAAGGCTGATTTTATGTTCCACGTTCTTGCACTGCATTTTATGCCCTTAATTACTGAATTCTGTCTAATTGCTGCTGCTCCTGGTTTTAGCAGGAGATTAATGTTTGCAGAATTCATATTTGATGGAAGTCTGCTCTTTGATTTCCAACAACGTTCTGAAAAAAAAAAAAAAACTGGTGCTAGAATCGTCCAGAATTCTTTGTACAATTCTGCAGGAAAGCCGTCTGGACCTGGAGCATTATTATTGGGCACACTTGTCAGGGCTTCCTGGAGTTCACCTGATGTCAGTGGCGAATCCAGAGTTATGTTGTCTAAACTGATCAATTTCCTTTTTAGATGGGTTTATTTGTGGTGAATACAACGTTTTATAGAAATCCCTGAAAATGTTGTTTATTTATTTCGGGTCATATACTATGTTCCCAGATGAATCTTGAACAGCATCTATATACCTATGTTTTTTCTTTATTTATTTTTAGCTGGTTTGCTAGAAATTTACCAGATTTATTACCATGTTCATAATTTTGTAAGCGTAGTCTTTGTACTAAGAATTTAGTTTTTTTTGTTTTTTTTTTATCAATTATCTCATTTAATTCTAGTTTTGTTTTGCATATTTTGTTCAATGTTTCCTGATCTTGGTGGGACACGTAGGCTTCTAGGGATTTTCTAATTCCTGAATATTTTTGTTTTCTTTTTATGTGATGAGAAAGAAATTAGTTTACCTCTCATCACAGCTTTCCCTGCCCCATAGAACAGAAGCTGATGTTCCGGGAGTGTCATTATAGTCTAAATATGAAGTCCACTCACCACTCAAGAACAAGTGTGCCATCTAAGTGTTCAGAGAGTGCACTGAAAAAAAACGTGAAAGAATGAGGGATCATCAACGTTTGGACCATATACACTTACAATACATAGCTTTTTATCAAGTATAGATAGTTTAATGATTAAGAATCTGCCCTCTGGATCTATAACTGTATCGAGTACTGTGAAATTAATATTTTTATGTATTACAATTGCTACTCCCCTTTGTCTAGAACAGTGGTTCTTAATCTGGGTTCGATCGAACCCTAGGGGTTCGGTGAGTCAGTCTCAGGGGTTCGGCAGAGCCTCCACCGTGACATACACGGCTCATTTTGTGCACCAATAAAAAACATATGTCTTGAATTTGAAAAAAATCATATTTTATTTTTCACTAAAGAGGGGTTCAGTGAATGCGCATATGAAACTGGTGGGGTTCGGTACCTCCAACAAGATTAAGAACCACTGGTCTAGAATTATAACAAGCTGAGAACACATAAGGAAACAGTTGCTTCTTGCTAGGACATACCCGATTCATCCATACCTAAAGCAGATCTGTAACTTTCAGCAGTTTCTCATCAGATGTTGACCGACCCAAACTGCAAGTACAGTGCTTAAATTCCAGAAAGATGTTAAAATTGTGATGCTGAACTAGTTAATGCCGATCTTAAGGATTCTAACTTCATCTTGTGCCAGAATGAGGAACAGGATGATATAGCACTAAGTGTCAGTTGAAACATACCAGTAATTCTAAAAGATATGCATGAAGATGCCATTTGATGACCTCTCCTGTACCCTTAATGAGGAATTTATTAATAAAGATGTGGTTTCAATATCATTAGAACAAATTCTGGGTTTTTCTGCACAGGCAGAGACCACCCTCACTAACTTCCGATGCACACCCAGTCATTGTGTTCTATAAGCAGGCCTGAAATATGACAGAAACCACTGAGTTCAGAAAAGAGCATCAGGGGTTTCTCCTCATAGGCTTTTGAGGGGTAAAACTTGATTTCAGTATTCAGCTATATTTAGCCATTAGTGTGAGTGTATGTTAGATAGAAAGCACAGGCTGCAGTGCTAATTAAAAAGAGCTCATGTGGAGTAGACAAGCAATATATAAGAACCAGTCCAGTTAGTATTCCATAGTGGAGAACAGAGCTAAATGGGCTCTGCCTCATATGGTCTATCATCGCATGGTTTGTTAAATTTCAAATAACAGCTTGGATAAAATGACACATTTAATGAGATTATCATGTACTATGAGAACCTGTAATGTTATAACTGGCAAAGAAAATAAACAACCTTTAAGGTGATTGTGACTGAAATGTTGCTAAATCCTGATTGGTGATACCTAGGGATGGGTATCGTTTAGGTTTTATCCGATACCGGTGCCAAATCGGTACTTTTGAAACGGTGCCGGTGCTCAAACGGTGCTTAAAGAATGGAGAACACAAAATTGGTCCAAAAACCTCTTATGTTCAGCTGGTTTTTGTAAAAAGATAATAATGTTAGCCTTTTCTGCAGCTATGGGGCATATATGGTATCACTCTTAGCTGGAAGCAGTGCTTAAACAATGGAAAAAATACAAACTTTGTCCAAAAACCTCTCATGTTTAGCTGTTTTCCACTTTTTCTTTGGTCATTTTAGCCTTTTTGGCCAGGGTGAAGGGAGCATCTGCCATCAAACAAGAAGACAGCCGCATGTAGCTATGATGATGTTTGCTAGTTCACCTTACATGCATTAATGTAATAACGTGGTTAGCCTACTCAACGTAAATTACACACGAACAACATTAAGCTCCTCACGCAGAGAAGAACGGCTGCTGCTGCCATCAAATACGGCGCATTTCTCGGCTTTTAAAAAAAAAAAAAAACCGCTATGCGTCGCCAGGTGTTTCATCGGATTCGAGGTGTTACTTCCTTTGACAGTATCACAGTATCAGCTTAAAGCACTTGTTGCAGGCTGCTGAGTTTGCATATTTTGCTGTGAAGTACAGCCAGACTTTTGACCGCTTCGCCTTGGGCATTTTTAATCTGTAGCTCTGCATAAAAGAACGTACGTACCTGGACCCGCCTACTATCCTCGGAAACGTAAAATGATTGGCTAGAAGTGTATCACAGCTCAGGAAAAAAAAAGCACCGAAATAAAGCACCGAAATGTGCACTGCTTTTCGGTCTGGTTACTACCGTTTATGTCAGAACCGGTGCCATCATGGCACCGGACACCGGTACCCATCCCTAGTGATACCTGCCCTCTTCTAACCATTAAGAAGAAATCTGATGATGTAGACGTCACAGTAAAAAAAAAAGAAAATCAACTGATGGACTAAGTTTTCAAGGTCTTTAAACACAGTCTAATGATGTGTTTTGTAGGGGTGCAACGATACATCAAAATTCACGGTTCGGTTCAGTTCGATACTTTGGTGTCACGGTTCGATATTTTTTCGATACAAAAAAATGTTCATGCCTTTTTAATTTGTCATTTATTAAAATTATAAATATATATTTTAACTCAAAAGTACAGTTTTTAAATTTAACCCTAACCCTTGTGCGTGTTTTTTATTTTGACAGCGAATGCGCACCTGCGGACCACTTATGTGCAGCCCTGGTTATTTAGCTCGTCATATTGCAGCCACAGAAATTCTTTTGTCCATGAAACCATAAAGCTGCACTTTCTTTTTGCCTTATAGTCTGATTTGTCATAACTTCTCCGTTTTGTGGTAAGCTTTTCTTTGGCTGTCACTTCTTCACCCTGACCTGTCTTATTTGGCTCAGCAGAACTAAAATATATATCTGTCTGTGAAGGTTCTCAGTCATCCAGGTCATCTAGTCAAATATAAATCCTGCTGCTTTTACACACGCACTCACATAAGCTCAGCGATTCTCTGCGCGATCAACCTCTCACATGTTTAAGCTGCGGGAGATTTCACTTGTCATGTTTGCATAGTAAGCTATCAATTAATAAGACGATGTCAGAGGAATTGGTGCGCAAATTATCATCACTCACAGATCAGTGCTGTCGCTCTCTATACACAGTTCGCATGATTGCAAAGTGAAAGCAAAAAAACAAGCGCAAATTCAAACGCGATTTCAATATGTCACATATTGACAGTGGCTATAGCTATACTATCCGCTTCTTCTGGGCTATATTCTCAGCAGCATATTAAACAGCTGTCTAAATGACTCGGCTAAAGTTAGTAGCATGCTTGCTTGTTTTTTTCTGCTTCCACTTGTCTTTGCACTAGGATGATGTCGGCGTAAATGTGCAGTCATATTCGTTGTGTTCCCACTAGTGCTTTCAGGTTAATCTCGTTGAAATGACCTTAACGCCACATAGGGCTGCTCGATTATGGCAAAAATGATAATCACGATTATTTTCACTGAAATTGAGATCACGATTATTTGACGATATTTATTTAACCCTTTAAGACCTACTATAGAACCAAGTCCACCAGAGCTTATATTATTTTTATTTATTTTTTTTTACATGCTGTAGTGCCATTTGTGGGAGCATTTCAAGTTGCTATACATCAATACAACTGTTATAGCCCATATTTTAATAATATGTATGCATTAAGTGCATAGTAATTACATAAATTGCAAAAAAGTGCAATAAACTACAAAAAAAATTGAAAATCGCTTTTGTTTTGTTTACATATATTTCTACTTGGAGAAGTTTAAGAGGTTTATCACTCAAAACTTTA